GACTAGCAAAAAAGTTACATGTAAATAATAAAAACTTTTTTTTTTGTTTTGATTATTTTGTTCAAAAGTAGCAATTAGAGCATGTTCAAATATTAATATGTGATTTTCTTTCTTCGATTTCCAATACAGACAGCTTTAGCACTTCACCAACCCCCCCCCCGTCCTCCCTCCCTCCCTCCATTTTAGGTTTCATTTTGTTGAAATGAAAATGCTCATCGCACAAAATATACAGGGTTGCCCACATAGGATAAGATTTTAATGACGACTGAAAGAATTGTATTAATATCGTCATATTTTAACCCTATCCCGATTGGGCTATTTTTGTCTAAAATAGATTGGGAGGTGGGGGGGGGGGGCCCCTCCCTCCCTTTTGATTTTGCCCTAGCACTTTAGATAGGGGAGTGTGATACATGTCCCTAGTCCAACTTTTCAAGGCCTTCTCATTAAAAAATTAGTACTCTATCTTAAATGAATAAAAAACACTTGTTAGATTGATTTCTATCGACTTACGCATGAAAGGTTGTCAGAGACAATTTTTAAGAACTCTTTTTTTAAGAAAATATGTTCCAGGGCCCAAAAGGTTATAGAGCACAAATATGTAAAGTACACCTGCCGTATGGAAACAGTACAACAAAATGGCCGTTTTACACCTTTTATAAGCTAATTCCTCTCTACACTAATATATTCTTTATGTCTAACACCCAAGATTAGCGTCCATACAAAATCACGTAGTTGGTTTTTTCACTTAGATCGTAAATAATTCAATTAGATTTGAAACTACTCATTCAGATATTTTATCCTACAATTGTCAAATTCAGTATATAGTTGATATTTCATAATATTTTTAATTTTGTTTTTCAATTTAATATTTCGCTTACATTTTTTTCACGGCGGACTCTGCATTTTCGACATTCCCATGGACAGGAATTAACGTTTTCAAAAGTAGCACCCGGATCATTTTTGCGAACAGTCCCTTTATAAAGTTACCCTTCGTGGAAAATATCAATTTTACTATTTTACTATACTAATTTTTCAGATACCGTGCAGTAAACAATAATTTCATGTAAAAATAGCAAAAACAATTAGAAGATGACATTTAAACAAAGAGAATACAATATATATTAGAGTGGAATTTAGAGAATCTCTCGGTATGAATTTTTTCAGTCCCTTTCAGCCTGAAAGGGAGTTCAAAGTGTACAAATCATGTAAATGTTCACAAATGATATGCAGTAGTGTACATTAATACAGTATGTTCCCTAGACTATCCATTTCAACTTCGAATTTTTAAAAGCTGTTAATAAACTTTATAATGAATTAGGTGAATAAAAAACATCATTTGATTTATAGTGAAAGGCATAGAGTCTATGTGAAATGATCATTGGTCAATTATGAAACCAGCCTATTTCATAATTTGGTTTTCTTTTAATATTAAATTTAAGATTTTCTATAAAATGATGTTCCAGGGCCCAAAAGGTTATATAGCATAAATATAGTGAAGTACACCTGCAGTATGGAAACAGTACAACAAAATGTCCGTTTTACACTTTTTTCTAGAAAATTCCCCTCTAATATATATTCTATTCTCTTTGCATTCAAAACATCAAACAGTAAATAAATCCAGTTAAGTTTAAAAATTCTGTAAAGAATGAAATAAGACATAAATACAAACTTGTTTTAATTAAGTAGAATAAAATTACACACTCAGCTGAAGTCATAAATACAGAGCTCAGATTTCTCAATTTTCTATAAACTTGACTAAATATACAAAATAATTCAAATTTATAAAAACAGTTAACAACTAATTAATAAAACTGTAAGTTTATGCTATGTAAATAACTCAGCCTTATAACAACCAGGGAAGCAAAAAACTTTTTTTGTAAGTGTATTATCCATATTACTTTTTAATTAAGAAGGAGAAGATTCATTCAGTGTACTGTCTATTAACTTGGTATTCATATTATACAATTTGTTCTAATTTTGCTTGATGATAATTAATCTGTTCCTTTGTTCCTCGATAGTTTTGAGAACGATCATTTTTAAAAATCTTTAACTATATTCAAAATTTTGGTTTATATAAATTTTTCATTATTAATGAAACGATCAAAGTCGTTTTTTCAAAAAAGCAAAATCTGTCCCTCCATACACATCAACATCTCGAAAATCTGTCCATCCATAAACATCAATATCTCGGAAATCTGTCCATCCATACACATCAATACCTCGGAAATCTGTCCATCCATACACATCAATATCTCGGAAATCTGTTCATCCATACACATCAAAATCTCGGAAATCTGTCTATCCATATACATCAATATCTAGGAAATCTGTCCATCCTTGCACATCAATATCTCGGAAATCTGTTCATCCATACACATCAATATCTCGGAAATCTGTCTATCCATACACATCAATATGTCGGAAATCTGTCCATCCATGCACATCAATATCTCGGAAATCTGTCTATTCATACACATCAATATGTCGGAAATCTGTTCATCCATACACATCAATATCTCGGAAATCTGTCTATCCATACACATCAATATCTGGGAAATCTGTCCATCCATGCACATCAATATCTCGGAAATCTGTCTATTCATACACATCAATATGTCGGAAATCTGTCTATCCATACACATCAATATGTCGGAAATCTGTCCATCCATGCACATCAATATCTCGGAAATCTGTCCATCCTTACACATCAATATCTCAGAAATCTGTTCATCCATACACATGAATATATCGGAAATCTGTCTATCCATACACATCAATATCTCGGAAATCTGTCCATCCATGCACATCAATATCTCGGAAATCTGTCTATTCATACACATCAATATCTCGGAAATCTCTCTAAGTTTGCATTTATTACTGTATGCACAATTTTGACTCTAATAGATTTGAAGATTGAATTTAGTTTGATAATTAACGGTTAGATTTGTTTTCTCCTAATATCTTATTTCTTCTGCCAGAGTCAAGATTTTGCATTATTTGACAATCAACAAGTTGTAGATTAAAACATTTTACATTATGTTATAGTTCTTAGACTTTAGTTGGGAACTTGGGACCCCTTTGCCATAATGATATGGTAATGATGAATTTGTGACCTATTGATTCAAACATCTTTTTATCTAAAAAATTTGTCTTTATAAATAAACTTTTTTATTTAAAAGAAATCCACTGAGTAAAACTGTTAAAAATATAAAAATATGAGTAGAGATGATTTTGATCGAACGTCACAGCTTGCATGGGAGAAGGAACGAACTGTTAAATCTGCATGTATGAAGAGATGGGTTGATGGTGTTTGATAAATGTTTCATATTTAAGGGAAAGATGCAGAGAAGTCAACAAATAAGCCTTCTTCTGGTATTTTCCTTTACAGTTCAAACTTTAGCAGCAGAAGCACCTGCAGCACCAACCGGAGAAGTACTAAGAGGGGCACCAGGAGGACCAGCAGCACCAGGGGCACCAGGAGGACCAGCAGCACCAGGGGCACCAGGAGGACCAGCAGCACCAGGGGCACCAGGAGGACCAGCAGCACCAGGGTCACCAGCAGTACCAGGAGCACCAGGGGCACCAGGAGCACCAGGGGCACCAGGAGCACCAGGGGCACCAGGAGCACCAGGAGCACCAAGAGCACCAAAAGCACCAGTTCAAGGAGATGATTATTTTGATATAAGAATGTAAAAAAAAATTGTTTATTTGTTACAAAATCTGTTAACTGTTCCACAGTTTGTCAAGTGGTTTCGGAGAGGGAGCGAAGCTAGAATTTAGTAACTGTATTTATGAAAATACAAATATTTTCGTTCTTTAAGCTCAGTGTACTATTTTCATGAGCATTCCGGTATGTAAACACTTTTCAGACACTTGGACGTTTCAGCCCTGCATCAATCTGATCTGTGAGATTTAAATAAATTCTTAAATTATATTGTTTTTTGGAATTCTGATACCTCAAGATGCATTTTGATCATGTTCATCATTAGGCTAAAAAATTAGCGCTTAATTACATTCATACTCACTTTACGGTAAATATTTGCATAGACGTGCTTATAGCCTATAAAGTAATCATGGTTCTATAATGTTAAATTAGCTGTATATTTTAACACTTTCCTATAAAGTAATCATGGTGCTATACTGTTAAATTAGCTGTATATTANTAATGTTAAATTAGCTCTATATTTTACATTATTCTATAAAGGAATCATAGTGCTGTAAAGGTAAATTAGCTCTATGTTAAAAAACTATGCTATGAAGTAATCATAGTGCTGGCCGGATATTATACGTCTACAATATATAAAAATTTGCAGAACATGTTGTATTATGTATCTTTATACATTCATAAATTATACCCATACTTTTGTAAAAAGCTTTCGATTTTATAGTGTGAACCCATATTTAATCAATACTTTTTTCAGTGAATTAATTGTTCGCATATTTATATATCACTAACAAATATTTTTATACAAATCTTGATTTCTTTTGACAACAAAATTTTCATAACACTATTATTTTGGCTCGACGTGTTATAAAGTTTTGGACATAAATTTATTAAATGTTCAGACAGTTAAAACTCTGAAGTGTCCCAACGCCATGACCTTTCATTCACCAACTTACTTATCCTTTTTTGTAGTACTAGATATATACATTTTCAAAATGCAATGAGCTTGTTTCTAACTTAAGTTTTAAAGGAGTAATTGGCATTTACGTAATTTTTGCGTCAGAGCGTACACATCTTGGTTTACAGCGTATATTAGGCAAGAATGAATGATATCCATTAAAGTTTCATGAAATATATTTTGATTTAGATTTCCTTTTTAAAGTTATTTCTTTTACAATCACAAAGTTTTCTTATAATTTGATTTTTTAAATATTATATAAATAACGTTATTGATTGATGAGAACGTTGCATGAATTAAATGTCGTGACATTTTCCAAGTGCTTAACCTCAAAAGAGGAGCAATTAAAAACCTCATTAAAAGTGATTAGTTTAATGACAGGTGTAAAATGTAAATAAATCTATTTATACTGAACACAATCCTGCATTCAATGGTCATTAATCGTCCTCATGTCCAGGTTAGAATTACTTCAACATATTTCAAAAGTTTTATAATAAATTTTTAAACATTTTCTTTTTCTTTTATAAAGACATGGAATTGAGTCTATGCAAAAAAAGTTCAAAAATCACAATCTCTATATCTTTTCAACCTGATGGTTTAAACTGTTTTCATTTCAAGCTCAAATTTTTGAGCTAACTGAATTCCTTGTTTGAGTGATCTAAGGTCTACGACATTGGGTTAAAGAGTTTGTGGCAAAGACTCAAATCCCTTTGAAAAGAATTGAGTCTTTGCGACAAGATAAAATTTTCTAATATTTATATCTTTTAACCTGATTGCTTAAACCTTTGATACTTCAAGCTTAGATTATTTAAGCTAATAGAATCTAAAGTTTTAATATCTATAGGTCTACGGAATTGGGTTACAAAGATATAGGGATTATAAATGTGTTTGTGACAACGACTCGATTCCTTAACAAAATAAATTAAAAAATTTAAAAAAACTTTTATGATTTTCTGTAGAGGTAAAGACATGATGGGGCATTGGCCCTTGTTGATGGCAATTGCTTGTCTGACTTTTTGCAACTTTTTGGTAAGTTTTAAAAAATGTTCCGATCGGTTTCCTAGAAATAGGAAATAAAACACAATTGTTTTTTGGTCAACCAAAAAATCAAAGGCCTAAACTTAACTTGGATTTTCTTAAAAAAGCAAAGCTAGGATCTACTGAGTTGGATAATTTGAATCCCGATCACTTAATCTCGATATCCAATGTAAACACTTTTGATTTCTGCTTAATTCTCTCATTTTGGATAATACCAACGGGTTCCAAAGGGAGTGCCGGAAAGTTAGTAAATTGTTTTCTCATTGGTTGTGCGCAAAATTTCTTGGCTACATATTGGCTATTCGGTTTCTGCAAACGGCACTCTGATTAGTTGAATTTGAAACACTCTCCTGCAAGCTGCAGGATATCAATAAAGATTAGATTAATCTGCAGATTAACAAAAAGAGGAGATGAACCATTGAAATCAAAATCCACATTACAAGGGGTTTCCGCTCATGATTACAAGCAACAAAATCTAATTTTCAAACAATTATATCTGTGCAACCTGATGTCGTAAACCTTTGATATCTTAAATTATGAATTTTGCTTCATCAAGTATTCAAAATTAGAAATATGAAAAGTTTACATCATCAGGTTGCAAAGAAATTGGGACAAGGAAAACTTTTTCTTAATCCCGACCAGACACACACTGTTAAACTTCTCAGAAACCATATGTTAGACAAAGGTTTTACCTTGAAGGATGATGATAATCAAACAGTAACCCTAGGAAAGGAGGACTTTGAGAAGTTAATATTGGTGGATGGAAAAGAATATAAGCTGGCTCCTAAGCTTAATTATTCAACCCATATAGATGTAAAAGGAATTGAAAGGCAGAGAGTATCTAAATCTTAATTAATTTAACTTTAGATCTGAATACAATTTTAATTTGTAAGATTTCTTAATTTTCTATAATTTCTAGGTTTCTGGTTCTCCCCTAGAAACTAAGCTAGAGTACAAATATGTGTTTGAAACTGCTGGGTTTCAAAACGTATTGGATACTGCTTCTGTGGTAAGGAAAACTATTATCCGAACAAAGTCTAGTGTTTTTTCTAATGATATTTTATACTCTTACCTTGACAATCAAACACACATTTCATTGATTGCAAAGTACGCTTTGCAATTAATGAAAACTCCGATAATTTCAAGTATAATTTAAGCAGCTAGAGCAAGGTGTACAGTATTAGTACAAACTATGTACGTGAAAACAGGACGGTACATTAAACTAATCACCTCTTTCTTCTGAGATCAATTTTCAATCCGTTTGATAACTGTCAGTTAAGTTTAAGTGTTTAAGTAACATTTGAGCCAATGAAACTTTGTCCCACCCTACTACCATCTTATCTGGGGTCTCAGGTCTTGAATTCCCAAAAATATGTGATAAGCTAAAGTTGTTGAAACCAAACAAGATTAATTGTTAGTAATTTGTACATTCATTTTAACTTCTTAAAGGGACTATAAAGAAAAAATGAAAGGGGGAATGGGCTGAAAGCTAATCACTTTAGCTCTTGATCGCGACCCAAGAAAGTTATATCTGATGTTCCTGTCTCGAGAAATTGATATAAAACTGTGTTAAAATTATGCGAAAAAATATAAATATTCAATTTTGTATAGAAACTATAGGTTTAAACAGATCATATTCAGCAAATATGCAACCAATCTGAAAACGAAGATATCCCAGAGAAACCTAATTGTAACTTAGATTTCTCTGGGATATCATTTTAGAATTGTTATTTTTATTTTTAATAGATATTTAAGATTTAGGGGTGTTTCGTTCACAATAACATGGCAAATGCCCAAAGGAGTTACGTGCATGCCACGTTAAATGACAAGACAGAGAGAGAGCATGCGCGTAACTTCTTTGGGCTTCTGCCTCAGGGTTATATCTGAAATGTGTGCTATCTGAAATGTTACTTATGCTTTAATCTGTAGGACGGAAGTGAAGTATGGGGGTTTACAGAAACCTCAGGAGACATGCTTTACGACTGCACTGCAAACATTGACTACTCTTTAACTGCAAGCGATGGAACAGGTATCTGTAATGGTTAGGGTGAATGGGAGATTTTAAAAAGTTCCAAAAAAATACGTCAGAAAAATGTTCAAAAATAATTATTTTTACTTAAAGTTCTAGCACATGTTATTACATCCATTTTTCAAGGATTTTTCAAATATTTAAGTCTTAGCCTTGTAGCTTAATTAATAAAAAAATATTAACCATTTCTATTTTTTTTAAACACTGAACCGCCGTTTGACTGTCCTTCACCCTACCCTATGCATAAAAAACCTTGTTCACAACTATGATGTTGAAAAAGTAAAGAAGTTTTAATGTTCTAATCTAATCGGGAATGGGCACTTAATTTTCAATCCCTATATGTTTACAACCTAGTTGTGTAAACCTTTAATGTTTCAACATTTCATAAAAAATTCTATGACCAAAGATTAAGGAATTTGAAATCAGAGCTTGTGCCAAAGACTCAATTTCTTTGGAGTTGAGCGCTGGCCTTATATAAAAAATATGACATATTATATTGTGGTGGGGGGGGGGGGGAATTATTTATTTACATGGATCAACAATCAACGTTAATCATTTCTCCATACTATCTAATCAGTTCGAAGGGACTGTTAGTGTAATTTCAAGTGACCCTCCATGCAAAGATGACAATTCCTAATTCACAACGGCACCCTTAAAAGCTTTGTCTGATCAAGTATGAATTAGATATCCATGTTTTAGTTTCATGAAACGGTTTATTTTCATTTGAGGTTTCTCTTCAAAAGTGACTTGCGCATAAACAACGAAAAAGTTATCAAAATTAAACACTCATCGAGCCAGAATTACGAAAATATCTTCCATATTATCAAGGGTACCGTTGTAACTCATCCTTTATCATCTTTGCATGGAGAGTGTCACTTGTAATTACGCTTACAGTCTCTTTTATCCAGTTGAAAGCGAAGCTGTGAGTTTGGTTTGTAATGGATACTCTCTAGCAGGCTGTTCCAGTGGACTACAAACTCCACTAATTTCAGGGGTAGGATTGTCTCTTTGTTTTTCCGACGATTTTCCTTGAATTGATTATGGAACTCGAGGGAGTCCAACAGGAATATTCTTGGCTTGGCTTTAAGATTATAAGTTGAGTGGGTCGACTTTAACAGCGAAAATTTAGTTTATCCGGTAAAATCGTTCAAGTGCGGGTAAATGGCGGAAGTAACTTTAAGTAACCTTGGCAGCTCTGTGTTCTCAAGCTAGTTTATTATGAACCAGGTCTACGAACTACAGGAGTACCCACAAAAATGAGACTTGAATGACGACCTAAAGGGCTAAAAATTTTAAATATATATAATAAAAAAGAGTTAAATGAATTCCGTACAGTCGTTACTGAAGTCTAATTTTTTGTATGTAACCCTATATCTGAATCTCAGTATTCAAAATTAAGATTACAGTATTAATCATTAATGTTTGAAATATATTTTTTTGCATTTAACCCTCTCCTCGCTGGGCTATCTTTGTCTTAAATTTGGGGGAGGGGGGGATAATTCCTTTATCAACTATGATCTTACCCTTGCAGTTCGGTTAAGCTGGATCAATTTTCAAAAGAAATTTTATTTTCAACAAACATTACGATGTGACATCCAATATATAAAGTCTTTTCTTTGTTTTGTTAAAAAAAATAGACCGCTACGGGTAAACCCGTCCCCCCTCTCTCCAGGCTTATTAGGGTCTTTATAATTAATTAAAACCAACTTGTGAATTATTTTAGGTTTTATCAAGAGGCCATTCATTTTTTGCGGAGGACAATGGAAAACTTTACTCCTGTTATGCAACTATGGATTTCACAGTTGATCCTGTGTCAGCTACTGGTATCTCAATCAGCTGTAATGGACCGTATATCAATAGTGGCATGTGTCCTTCATCATCGTCAAGTTCAAGCTCATATAGTACTTCAAGCTCGTCCTTTAGTAGCTCAAGCTGGACAAGCTCTTCAAGTTTCTCAAGCTCTTCAAGTTTCTCCAGCTCTTCAAGTTTCTTCAGCTCTTCAAGTACATCAAGCTCATCAAGCTCTTCAAGTTATTCAAGCTTATCAAGCTTATTACGCTCATCAAGCTTATTAAGCTCATCAAGCTCGTCTAGTTCTTCCAGCTCTTCTTCAAAGATTGATTGCCTTTGCCAAAAAAGCTCAAGCTCAATTTCATCAAGCTCTTGTTCCTCCAGCTCATCCAGCTCATGCTCTCTCTCTCCGATAGTCAGTTCATGTTCAAGCATTTCGCATTCAAGTTCGCCATTTTCTAGTAGTTCCTCCAGCTCTCCAAGCTCTTCAAGTTCGTCAAGCTCTTCAAGCTCTTCAAGCTCTTTAAGTTCTCCAAGCTCTTCAAGCTCTTCAATCTCTTCAAGTTCTCCAAGCTCTTCAAGCTCCTCAAGCTCTTCAAGCTCTTCAAGCTCTTCTAGATCTTCCAGCTCTTCAAGCTCTTCAAGCTCTTCAAGCTCTTCAAGTTCTTCCAGCTCTCCAAGCTCTTCCAGCTCTTCAAGCTCTTCAAGCTCCCTAAGTTCTTCAAGCTCTTCAAGTTCTTTCAGCTCTTCAAGCTCTTCAAGCTCTTCAAGCTCTTCAAGTTCTTCAAGCACTTCCAGCTCTTCCAGTTCTCCAAGTTCTTCAAGCTCATCAAGTTCTTCCAGCTCTTCAAGTTCTTCCAGCTCTTCAAGCTCTTCCAGCTCTTCAAGCTCATTAAGCTCTTCAATTTCATCAAGTTCTTCTAGTTCTTCAAGCTCTTCAAGTTCATCAAGTTCCTCAAGTTCATCAAGCTCTTCAAGTTCATCAAGCTCTTCAAGTTCTCCAAGCTCTTCAAGCTCTTCAAGCTCTTCAAGTTCTTCAATCTCTTCAAGCTCTTCTAGCTCTTCAAGCTCTTCAAGCTCTTCAAGCTCTTCAAGCTCTCCAAGCTCTTCAAGTTCTCCAAGCTCTTCAAGCTCTTCAATCTCTTCAAGTTCTCCAAGCTCTTCAAGCTCTTCAAGTTCTTCCAGCTCTCCAAGCTCTTCCAGCTCTTCTAGCTCTTCAAGCTCTCCAAGTTCTTCAAGCTCATCAAGTTCTTTCAGCTCTTCAAGCTCTTCAAGCTCTTCCAGCTCTTCAAGCTCTTCAAGCTCTTCCAGCTCTTCAAGCTCTTCAAGCTCTTCAAGCTCTTCAAGCTCTTCAAGCTCTTCAAGCTCTTCAAGCTCTTCAAGTTCTTCCAGCTCTCCAAGCTCTTCCAGCTCTTCAAGCTCTTCAAGCTCTCCAAGTTCTTCAAGCTCTTCAAGCTTTTCAAGCTCTCCAAGCTCTTCCAGCTCTTCAAGCTCTTCAAGCTCACCAAGTTCTTCAAGCTCATCAAGTTCTTTCAGCTCTTCAAGCTCTTCCAGCTCTTTAAGCTCTCCAAGTTCTTCTAGCTCATCAAGTTCTTCCAGGTCTTCAAGTTCTTCCAGCTCTTCAAGCTCCTCCAGCTCTTCAAGCTCATTAAGCTCTTCAATTTCATCAAGTTCTTCTAGTTCTTCAAGCTCTTCAAGTTCATCAAGTTCTTCAAGTTCATCAAGCTCTTCAAGTTCTCCAAGCTGTTCAAGCTGTTCAAGCTCTTCAAGCTCTTCAAGCTCTTCAAGCTCTTCAAGTTCTTCAAGCTCTTCAAGCTCTTCTAGCTCGTCAAGTTCATCAAGTTCATCAAGCTCTTCAAGTTCATCAAGTTCTTCTAGTTCATCAAGCTCTTCAAGTTCTTCAAGTTCATCGAGTTCATCAAGTTCATCAAGTTCTTCAAGTTCTTCAAGTTCATCAAGCTCCTCCAGCTCTCCAACAACAACAACTACTACAACAACAACAACAACTACAACACCTTGCGACGGTTGCAACTGTCCCATGGATATTGAAATGGATCCTAATGGAGATTCTTACATTAAAGTTATCGAGTCTCCCAGGTAAAATATTATTTTAAATTGTTACCATTTTGCCTGAAAGTCTTTAAATTAGATTTTTAATTTGTATTACATATAGATATCCAGACAAATACCCACACAATACTGACTGCCAATGGAATATCAAGGTTAGGCCATATTTATTTGGTATGAATATAATTCCCCTTGAACTTGTTTAACAAGATTTTAATAGATTAGTTATTTGTTCCCATCGCCAGACCACTTGATTTATGGGAATAGTCTCAACTAGGGTCTCCAGTTGAATAAAAAAATCATTGTACGCAAATTCTGCATATTGCACGCAAATTTTTGATTCTGCCGCAAAATGCTCACTTTTCTGAATTCCTTACGTAGAAAAAAAACGTCCAAATTTCAGCATTTTGTGCGGAAGTTCATGCAAATCTGTTGTGCAATATTTGCGTTGTGGTATTTTCGTGTTATTTGCGTTGCGGTATTTGCGTTGTGGTATTTGTGTTGTGGTATTTGCATTGTGGTAATTGTGTTGTGGCATTTGCGTGGTATTTGCGTTGAAAATGTTTGACGCAAACTCCGTAAAATATTTCAATCATCTTTTTAACTGTAAACTATTTTAGGCGTTGAATGGAGGACGTGTAAATCTAGTTTTTGACAGCTTTAACATCCAGTGGTCTTCTAATTGTATGACCAATGATTACGTATTGGTCGGTAAACTTGCTAAATACACAAAGGTCAGTTTGTTTTGTTCATTAAATTTTCTTAAACACATAGAAGAGCCCTCCTAAATGATTAAATGAGGGGATGTGAAAACCTTGTTTTTTGGAATTTATTTTAGGGTTTTCCTTCTTTCATTGGGTTAATAACTACACACATCCTGGGGCACGATATCGATATGTGTAACTTACAAATTCACAAGCTTTGTTTTTGTTTAAACGCACAGTTCTTGAGAAGTACAAATATGTTAAAGTAAAATGTACACAAAACCTCTACCCCATACCTTAAAACACAGTGAAAACCATAAAACTTTGAAAGATGAGGACGACTTTAAAACAGAAATTATGATTGTAAATAGTAAAACTAACATTCAACTTCCTATTCCACAGTTTTGTGGGTCTCATTGTACCATGTTTTAGAGGGTTAGTGAATGTATCTTTGAGAAGATAAATTAAAGGTTCCATGCAATAATCATCAAGGATTGTATTCAATGTAAATTCTTAGAAGTTTTAAAATAATTATATGATTTAATTACAAAGGTATTCCTGTGTGGAGCACGAGTACCCTCTGGGTTTAATCTCATGTCTAAGAATGATGAAATGGTTCTCAAGTTTCATTCTGATGATTCAGTAACTAAGAGTGGTTTCAGAGCTATTCTAACAGGTATTCTTTCATGCCCTTTTCTCACACAGTATTGGTAATGTATCGTCCTTTCACTTGAACAAGAAAACGTAAAATGGTTGCCATTAGGCTCCTGTATCTAGAAAGCACTAGAAACGTGATTTAGAAATTTAAACTTTAAATACAGGGTTGCTTTCAAAGAATAAGACTGACGACGGTAAGGAATTTATTCTCGTGTCTTTTTGCTTAATCATTTAAAAGGCTATTTAGAGACTATATTGAAGGGAAAAGTCCTAAATTAATCTTGAATTCATCAGATTTAAAAAGTTGCATGTTGCCATTTCAGTCTAATCATTTCTGTAAACAATAAATCCTTCAATTGCCCAAAGCAAGCACCCTAATCCGTTTTTGTGAAACTAACTTATATCCTTCTATGTTTAGCCTCTTAAGTGAAAGAATGAAGACAACCCAGATTAAGAAAGAAGAGAAAATACAATTAACCAGTTACTGATCCAAGTTTATTTGTTACAAACAATAATGTTTAGATTTAAGAATATTATATAATGTGTAAAATGATATTATTAATGTGGTTAAGGGATTTATACATTCTGACTCTGTAGTTATATTTAATCTTATTTAAAACTGTTCAAATATATATCCAAGCAATAATTAGATTTTATTTTAAACCTACATAGAATGGCATTTTTCAATCCCAAGGGGGGGGGGGGTTATACTTTGAAAACCTTCCCCCCATTTACCATCTATTTATCTAACTATCTGTCTTTGCGTATTTATGTCTTTCTATCCTAGTATATATATAATTGTCTAGCTGACGACTTTTTCTATTTATTCATATGATTATATATCTTTCTGTCTATATATGTCTATTGTTTATATATGTATATATATGTATCAGTTTATCAATTCACATATCCATCATGTATCTGTCTATTATCTATAATTATACTTCATAAAATCGATCTCTCTGTATATCAACCTGTCTATATATATACAGGATGAGACTTAGAAACGATTGTACGGAATTTTCTTATAAATATGATTCCTTGCAACTGTAAACTTATTTCTTTCCTGAGCACATCATTGAATAAACCACTAGAAGCTTGATATGTTCAGAGCAGATGATTTATTTTTACCCATGGGATCGTTATATTTTAAGTTTAATAACATTAGAATAAACTAAGTTGAGAAGAAGAAAAATGTTTTAACTTTCACTATGTAACCACATAAATATGCTTTTCTAATACTTATCTTAAGTAAAGGCGCTACGAGGTCAAAAAATCGTACCATTTATGTCGAATAAATTTGACCTCCTTCTTTAAAAATAAGTACCTCATTCTATATATCTATCTATCCATCATACTTATTTATCTCCCTATCTACATATCTATCTTCTTCCCTTATCTATCTATCCATCATGCTACTTCCTTTTTTTCCTATCTGTCCAGCCATTCTCTACTTATGATTAAACCAGGTAGTGTAGAACCTTTCTAAATAGTGTTTTGTCAGTGTTAAGTTGGACCAAGAGAAAAAAGTGTTAAATTTTACGTTCTGTCAAGTATTTACTCCATGCAACCGTTTATGGTTGTCAGTTTCGTCGGTTGATACCATTTTCCGGTTGTGTTCAACATACTTTTTAGGATTCATGATTTCAACCCTTTTCAGATGGTCAAAGTCGTTAATAAATAATTGCTTTTTAAAGGATACTTAAAAATATATGCGTCTAAATAAACATTTTTTTTCTTAAATATTTAGAGACTGTAGCAATACTGATTTGTTTCTAAATAATTCACGCAGGCCCGTAACCNTACATTGTCAATGTACGCTATAAAGACTAAACTTTTTAACAAGTGTATTTTAGCTTTTAAGGGTTACATTTTAGTGTCTGAAACTTTTCAGTTTACATATACAATATACATAAAAAATAAATGAATGGTACGTAAGCTTAAGGAAAAAATTCATTATTTAAAATCAAGGCTTCTTGTCCCTCGGCCTCATTATGATATTATGAAGATAAATAAAAAATAAAATTTCTAACATTTTGTTTAAAATAGTTTATTTATTGACAGAATTGACATTGTGACATTGAGACATTCTTAGTGAATTTTTGAGTACTCAAAAAACCCTTCTACTTTGACTAAAAATGACAAATATCCCAGCAATTAAAATAATGTTTTTGAAACTCCCAAAAATGGCTATTATTCCAAAATAAATGGATGAATTTTTTCCTTTTAACCAAGGGTGACTAGATTTTAACTAATTAAGAAACAATTTCTTTTATATGGGACTAGGGGGGGGGTGCAAATTTGTCACTGCACCCTTGCACCCCCCCCCCTGGTTACGGGCCTGGTTTAGTAGCTTTTTATTTGAATTGCAAAACATGACATGCAAGTAGTGAATGGCAATACCGCTATTTTTGTCTAATGTAGATGGGAATTTTGCCCTGAGAGTTAAGATAGGGAGTGTAATGCATGTCAAAAGCCTAACTTTTCAAGGCCCTGCTCATTAAAAAAATTAGACCTCTAACTTTAATGGTTAGGGTGTAAAGGAGGACTTTTAAAAAGTTCAAAAAGTATTTCGAACACATTTTCAAAACTAATAATTTTTACTTTTGACAAATATTAACTCATGACATATGTTAATATGTCCATTTTTCAAGGGCTTTTCAAATATATAACTATTAGCCCTGTAGCTTAATCCTCAAAAAAGTTCTTAACAACCATTTCTGATTTTTGTTAAACACCGTTCCGCCGTTTGACCATTCTCTACTCTACCCTATGCATAAAGAAAAGGATTTTTTTCAAAATGTGTTCACAACTATGATGTTGAAAAAGTGAAGTAGTTTTAGCATTCTAATGTAAGCCATATTTAAGTTATTCAGAACAAACCACGGGGGGGGGGTGGAAACCCCCTCCCCCCCAATCCTGATAAGGTTAAGATTCTTTTAATTCAAACTTTTAAGGTTTATAAACTTTTAAAAGTTTTCACAAAGGAGTTGAGTTGTTGCCACAAACTCTGATTTTCTAATCTCTATATCTTTGTAACCCAATGTCGTAGACCTTAGATATTAATACTTATAGATAAAATAATCTAAGTTTGAAATATCAAAGGTTTGCACCATAAGATTGCAAAGATATTGGAATCAGAAGATTTTAATTTGTGGCAAAAACTCAATTCCTTTGAGGAATTTTAAAACAACCCTTCAACCGTCTCTCTCTATCTGACAACGAATTTCTCCAAAATAATTAACTTAAAAATATTTTCAAACAAAGAAATTCGTATTATTTAACCGTGTTTTATTTGTTAGTTATTTTCTAAATTATACATTTAAAGTCATTTATACATTTATACATGATTGGAAGAGTGTAATACACTGACACACATGACAGAATAAATCTTTTAAGAGTCATCTAATATTTTTAAAATATATTTTCTAAACATTTGCTTTCATTGCAGTATGCCAAATTTTGAGCCAAGAGAAGATATTTGCAATTTAATCAACCATAAACAGAATACAGAATACAGAATACAGAATACAGAATACAGAATACAGAATACAGAATACAGAATACAGAATACAGAATACAGAATACAGAATACAGAATGCAGAATACAGAATACAGAATACAGAATACAGAATTCAGAATACAGAATACAGTTTACAGAATACAGTTTACAGAATACAGAATACAGATTACAGAATACAGTTTACAGAATACAGAATACAGAATACAAAATATAGTTTACAGAATACAGAATACAAAATACAGTTTAAAGAATACAGAATACAGTTCACAGAATACAGAATACAGAATGCAGAATACAGAATACAGAATACAGAATACAGAATACAGAATACAGAATACAAAATACAGAATACAGAATACAGAGTACAGTTTACAGAATATAGAATACATAATACAGAATACAGTTTGATAATGGTGAAACGCAAAAATGAAAAGTGTATCGTTTTGAACTTGTAACTACGAAAGAATGATATCCACAGTATTTGCGTGCTTCATGTCAAAAGTCCAAAAGCCTTTTAAAAATAAAAAAAATGAACCACGTTTGTCCAATGTTCATCGCTATGCTTACTCCTTATTCCTTACTCCTTACTCCTTACTCCTTTCTTCTTACTCCTTACTCCTTACTCCTTACTCCTTACTCCTTACTCCTTACTCCTTACTCCTTACTCCTTACTCCTTACTCCTTACTCCTTACTCCTTACTCCTTACTCCTTACTCCTTACTCCTTACTCCTTACTCCTTACTCCTCACTCTTTACTATTTGCTCCTTACTCCTTACTCCTTAAAAATGTTAGTCTATCGTTACTAAAGGGTGTCACAATAATCATGGGAATGACGTAAAATCCATTTAAAGCAGAATTCAAAATTTCATTTTTTGTATTTACAAATTGATGGAATATTGTTCAGTATGATGAAGTCTTCTCTACCCTTCCAACTTCTTCTACATTTGGGTTCCTACTACCTCGCACTGTTCTCCATAGGAAATCCATCATTTATTTCCCCATCTCTAAATATTTAAAGAGACTGTAGGTAGACGTAATTTCAAGTAAATTTTTAGAAAGGGTGGCATTTCTGATCGTACTATTAACAATTAACTTCTTAAACCTGCAGCTACGCAATAATGGGAAAGACATGTGGAAAAGTGATTTTATTTATACATTTTCCTTTCTTTTATTTGCAGCATAAGTTCACATTAAAGAAAAGCCGCTGAGGAAAAAATAATCGATTTCAAACTAGAAAACTAATATATTTCATTAGTAATTTTAACGAAAAAAAATAGTTAAAGGAGCGTAATATCATGTGCCCATCTTCTAGAGCGACAGGTTCAATCCTTTATCAAAGTAAAATTGAGAAAAATATTGTTGTCTGTTAGTTGTACGCGAAAAAAATTTATAAAAGCATGTGATAAACGAAAAGAGGTTGAATAATAATAATGAACTTCGATCGGCCATGCTTGATACCTTAATTTTAAAAATCCCTGAAGGAAGAAAGATAATACCTTGGAATATTCAAGAGGAATTGATTAATTTAATCCATAATACTGCACAAGCTCAATCCAAGGATTCTCAAAACAAAGTGTTTACCTCACATTGAAATAAATTCTAAAAACTGAATGGATTAATGTTAAGTTGAGTTTCTTCTGCTAATCTACAAAACTATTATACTACCCTACCCTTCAGGAAATATTGCTGCTGAGGTAAACTATTATCCTACCCTACCCTTCAGGAAATATTGCTGCTGAGGTAAACTATTATCCTACCCTACCCTTCAGGAAATATTGCTGCTGAGGTAAACTATTATCCTACCCTACCCTTCAGGAAATATTGCTGCTGAGGTAAACTATTATCCTACCCTACCCTTCAGGAAATATTGCTGCTGAGGTAAACTATTATCCTACCCTACCCTTCAGGANGGGGGGGGGGGGGTCATATTTATATTGACCTTGGTCCCAATCGTTTATTGCAAAAGTATTTAAGCTAGGAAGCTAAAATTTTCTGGCTTTTCTAACCTACAGATTGCCCTCAATTTAAAATCAGGGCTTTTTTACCAACTGCCTCAGGTATACTGCCCTTAAATGCCTTCTAGACCAGACGAAATGCGGGAGTGACGGAAATTTATCAAAAACCAAGGCAATTAAGAAATTTCTGTGTATTTGGGAAATTCCCCAATTATCCAATCACTGGGGAAATTTCCAACATCTGAAAAATATACCTGCACTCTCAAATTCTTATAGGAATTTGGGAAATATGGGGAATTCCTTAAATACCTGGGCTTCTGGGGAAACCCCCAAATACCCACGAATCCGGGTAATTCCCAGGAATCTGTGAAATTCCACAGATTCCTTGGAGAATCTCTTTGTAGTTTATTTTTCCATTTTAGGATTTTTCTCAAATGCTCAGTCATTTGAGAAATTTCCCCAATACCCAGACATTTGGGGAATTCCCCAAGTATCCAGTCATTTGGGAATTTTCCAAAATCAGAAAAATATACAACCTTCAAATCCTATTTGAATAAGGAATATCTTAGAAATTCCTCAGATACCTTTGACTCTGAGGAATTCTATAAACTACTTGGAGAATCTGAGGGTGGTTTATTTTCTAATAGGGAGAGAAAATGTGTTTTATTTGTAGGTATTTGCAAGCAAGGTCTGAAACTTGTGTAATATGATAACTATTTCAATTATGGATAAAAATGTATTTATTTAATATTATCATGCAAGAATTTGGAATAAACAGATGTTCAAATATTTTAAAATATGAATAAATGTCGTTTCAAGAATATTTCATACGGTGGGTATATTTCTTAAGGTTACTTCGCATTGTAGAATTAAATATAATTAGACACATGTTTAGGGCTCTCTTAAAGTTTGCGTTTGCGAAAATTGAATGGGAAGATAGGTTGATATCTAGTTTCTGTAGAATTAGACCAGTATTATATAGCAACCTAAATTTTCTATCAATGCGAAACTGATGTTTTTCCTTTTATGGTAACATTTTCGTAGGTTTCTAACAAAGAAGACGACATATCTATTATATTCGCATTTGATAAAGCAGGTTGAAGAAATATTGGCAACGATCTAAATCCCTCTTCCAGTTTTTCCCAACACTCATTTAATATTTTCTAAGAAAATTATTATGAAGTAGTTACTAAAAGTAATATATGTTCATTTTGCACTCCTCCGATATACTTTATACAATAATCTATATTTGAATCTATTTGCAGTAGTCATGAATTTTAACAGTTTATAGCTGTATGGAAAGCCAATGACTAAAGGATTCAGATTGCACAATTTTGTAATTTTGTGCAGATTCTTACAGAGGAGCCTTTAAAGGGAATTTGCACATTTTCTTTTTTCTTGATTGCACATTTAGGTCTTAAAAAAAGGTTAAAAATATTTTGGAGTATTTGAATTTTCTGGGTCAAGGGCTTTTTGCTAAATAACTAGATTTCGCAATAAACAGTAAATCATCAGCTAGTAGTTGAAATTGAGTTAAATCTAATTGTCAAATAATAAAAAGTAATTAACTAATTTTTTTAGAGTAAATAAGAGAACCTTTTTTGCGAAATTTTGAATTAAGAAATTTATAATTTTAATTCAGAGCTATAGTTGTATGTGTTTCCCTGTACTACTTAACCTGTTTTCAGAGTATACTTCTTGTTCTACTGGTCCTGGTTGAGATATCAAGGATTAGCAGTGGATGGAAAGGAAACCTAACCGAGAACTCAGGTAAGTTATATTGTATATGTGTACTAGCGGAATTTTAAAAAATGACAAAACTGTGAAGACGCGATTTTAACATTTTGTTAATTTTTTATATTGTGGCGGAAGACGATTTCTACAGAACACGAAGTAGCGGAGAGATTGAGCTAATCTAGCTGAACCAAATAGGTTATCAAGTACAATAGGTGGCAACAGATATATAAACAAATTAAACACGACGTCACAAGTGTCAACTATAACAAGGAAAACAATATTTTCTCACATTAGTTGACATGTTTTCAAAAATTAAATAAATAAGTGTAAATACAAAAAGTAAAGAACACATAAAATTAATATTATTCAAATGTAAGATAAGCACTTATATCTAAAAATATCAAGATTATTAATAATTTTGTCGGACACAAAAACTGAGTTGACAATTGTGACGTCAGAATACAGCTGTACTGAGAGTGTACAAATTCTACGTTGCCATCTATTGTACTAGAATCTATTTGAGCTGAACCCTGGCGGAACCAAGTATTTCCACGTTTCTTAAAATATATTAAATATTTTTTCTAAGTTAGTTAATAAATTTTAGTCATAAAATTTGTTCTTTTTGAGCGTAGCTAAATTATTGATACCAAATTTTTGGAATAAATAAAAAAGGCGTCAAACCACTGTGTACACCCTGTAATTTGTTATGTATAGGTTCTATGATAATTTCTACTGTTCTGATCATTCCATCTGTCCTGGCTGTACTGTACTTCCTTCTCTGGCAAACATATGTACTTAGGTAATATTTCCTAAAATTTAGAAGTGCTCACTTAGGATATCAAGATCAAGAATAACAATAACCACGCAAATTTCCCTTTTCAGTTTAAAATAAGAAATTGAAAAGGTTTTTATTTACTTTTGTTTTTACCTTTAACCGTAAACGTACACATTTTTAATAATATTTTCTTTTGATTTTAACCGCGCGATGTAAACACACATTTTCAAAGCAAACAAAAATATGTTGAAACGCATTTTTTTTTCTTAAAAAAATAATATTATATTGATAAGTTGTGGGCTATTTTATTTTTTTTAAAATTTAAATTCAGATTTGAAAAATATTTAAGAAAATTATAAGTAAATATTTGTCAGGTTGGAAGTTATAATGTGTGCTGTTCAGCTTTCTATTCAAGGATTTCAACTGATTTTGGGATTCATCTGTATTCTCACTTTTTCAAGGGGATACTAATAAGCTGAAGAAAAAAATGTTTTAAATGTTAAAAATGTGATTTTTTTAAAGAAAACATGGAAGTATTGTCTTCTTGATTGAAAGCACAATTCTACATAAGGGTTGAGGGGGGGCCGACCCCCATTTTTAATTCAGGAGAGGGTATTTACATTTTTTTAAAAGATGTCTTCACCGTCGATCCCAAGCCTAAGTAATATAGATATTGGTTAACAACCCCCCCCCCCACACAAAAACAAAAAACTTCCCTGTTGCGTATTTTTTCTTTGTGCAGTACTTGCATTTAGATATTGTAATTTTTCCATCGAAATATTGTTTATTTTGTTTTTTGTCTTGATAAAATAAACAGATAATTTGTATCTAACTTTTTCGTTATTGATATTTTCAGTTATTTTTAAAATTAACTTTTCTTTAATGATCACAATATTGTAAACGTCGTTAAAGGGAGTGTTCGCGAAAAATGAAAGGGGGTATAGGCTTAATGCGATAAAAAAGCGCTTTTGATCGCTTCTAATCTTACTTCTATCTGCTGCGTCTATAAGGAGAAAATTGTTAAAAACGACTAATATACCGAAGAACGTAGTATCCAGACAAATTCAGAAAGATGCAATGTACGACTTAGACCGTAAAAAAATCTATTTAATATGGTCATCGATTATCTTTCGCCACATTTGTATATAGTTGATTTTTCATAATATGTTTTGATTTTATTTTTAAAAATAATATTTAGCTTACAACTTGTTTTCGAACATTCCTGGAAAATATGAAAATGTCTTCTTCATTACCAAAAATCCTCGAAACAGGAATAAATGTAACTCTCAGATCATAACAATTAAAACATATTATGAAAAATCAACTATATACAAATGTGGCGAAAGATAATCGATGACCATAGGGTGTAATATCTGAATGATTTTTTTACGGTCTAAGTCGTATGTTGCAATTTTCTCAATTTGTATGAACGCTTCGTTCTTCGGTATTAGACGTTTTTAACAATTTTCTCCTTATAGACGCAACAGATAGAAGTAAGATTATTGGCGATCAAAAGCGCTTTTTTATCGCATTAAGCCTATACCCCTTTCATTTTTCGCAAACACTCCCTTTAACGGATAATATTCTAGAAACCATTCACTTATTTTCAAGACGGTTTTTTTCCGTTCGTTAACGATTTAGAAACTAAAGGTTTTCTGCCGTTTCGTCAACGGACTCTTCCATTACTTTTCAAAACTTCCGTTTAGTGAACGGAACTTTGCCTATTACTAGATTTAGGCTTATCCAAATATTGTGAGAACAGCGGTGAACATGTTTTAAAACCTTTTGCCGGATTTTTTTAATAAACATTTCAAATTATTTATATGCATTGATCTTAATTAATTATCAAATACTCTGAAAAATTAAACTTGAACCTTTCTAAAAGTATGTAATATTCTATCGTAAACAGCTGATTTTAACACGACCTTGCATACATAAGTTTCAGCTTAGCATTAGATTGTTGTTTCCCAAAATAATAGCGTTTAAAAAGGAATGTTCAGTGAAAACCAGAACACTGTGAAATAGGAAAACGGCATTTAAGCAAACAGTTTTACTATAAGTGACTTATTAAATCAGCTTTCAGTATTATAGGGTCTGTGACCTGTTTACACTGCACATTTAATGTGTCTAATGCTCATGTGACATAACTAAAACTCGTCTTCATATTCCGTAGTTTTCTGGTTCGCACTGTTTAGTAAATTGTTAGACCTGCAGTAAGAAGCAGAAGTTAAAAGTTGTCTTTTTAAAATCTTTTCATCAAAATTGTAGAATTTTGAAAACAAGACAATAAAATAGTAAATCAGCCTGTAATTACGTAATTGAAGAAAATTCAATTATATTAAGTATTTCCTATCATGAAAGCTATTTGTTATATCCCTCAAAAGGATATGACAAGATGGAATACCAATTTGTTTAATCCATTTTAATTATAAATATATTTTTACAGTGGGGATTCAAATTATGCGGAATAAATGTCGGCTTCAAATACAACTATTTTATTCCATGAACTCTGTAAAAGGAAGAAACTAAAGCGGGTTTTGAGATGCTTTTGTTTACATTTGATTTTATTCAGATTCCCTTCTCTTTACGAGTGTTCAGCATTTTGCTTCCTTTTGTCATAGACTGTTAAAGAGCTATTAATATGAAATCCAATGACCGGAAATAGGTCAATAAAGATCAAGATGAGGGGCCGTATTTAATCTTCAATCTTATATTGACGACGTTAAAGGAAGAAATCTTAGAAATTGCCTTTGTCAATATTTAAATACAAAAATCTATTATTTTCTGTGTTTCGCGCAATTTTCAGCAAAAATGCCTTTATTTGGAAAAACATCAGTTCGTTCTTTTTATTATCCGATCTTTGTTTCTTCATAAGTGGTTATGTTCGTCAATGATTTAAAACATAACAAACGGTGTAGTTCGTTAACGTGTAGGGTTAACGTGATTTGCAGCGGAGTATGATAATTTTATGTAAGATGGGGGGAGGGAAGATTTTTGTTCAGGGTAATCATAGAAACATGGGAATTACGAGACCACTGGAAAATCGTCTGATTGTGTCCCAACATTTAAAAATAACATTGAGTCTATCAAAAAAAAATTATTCAATTTATAAGCCTTTAACCCTATCCCCGCTGGGGTACTTGAAAACCAGGATACGCTGGGGGGGGGTCAATTTGACCCCCCCTCTAAATCCCATGTTTGATGTCCAATTATGACAAATGATACATCATTGGAAAGCTCTTGTGCTCTACTTTTAGAATCTGCAAAAAAATTTGCAAATTTGCAAAAATTGAATTTTTTATCGCAAAATCCAGTTATATAGTAAAAATGTTTGCAAAAAAAAATTTGCCCAAAAAATGAAAAATTATACATTTTTGAAAAGCCCTTGACCATGCCATTTCAAATATGCAAAAATATTTGCAAAATTTTAAATAACCTGATTTTTAATCAAGAAAAACTAAAAATGTGCAAATTTCCTTTGACAGGTTGTTTGCAAAAAATTTGCAATTTTTTTTCGCAAAACTTGTGCAATCCGTTTCCTTATGTCATAGGCTTTCCAAAAAGCTAAATTTTATCAAAATCTGACAAGTGAAAGTGGGTCAAAACAAAGATTTAGTTTGTTACAGGAAAAAGCATTCATTCAGGCAGTGTGCCTGAGGACTCAGGCAGTTAGTATTAAAGCCCGGTTTTAGGCCTAAAGGGAGGGCTTTGGGTATGTAGGAAAAGTCAGAAAATTTCAACAGCCTCAGACCAATACTTTTTGAGTTATGTAAAAAAAATACAGGGGGGGTCAAATTGACCCCCCCCCCCCAGCGGGAATAGGGTTAAAAAATGATTTTTCCTCTTTAAATCTTTAAAATTGATGGACAAGTAAACATTTAAACAATTTGGTTGATTTTTCTCAATTTGAATGTAGAGACATTTTCTAATATCGCCTTTAAATTTGAAGGTTATGGTAGACCACATTTCAGATATCTTAAGCTAGATTTTTTTTTGAGGGGTAAATCGTTTTAAGTTTTAACTTTGACCAAATAATGTGGTGTGAAGCAAATACAAGGCAGAAGTAATTCCCTAATTTTTTTCATGGATATAATATCAAATAAAACACCCTGTAATTCCCTAGGAACTGTATAATTAAATACTAAACCCCCAGGAATTCTCTGATTTATGTAGTTTTATTCTAACTAATAAACCTCTTCACCCATCTATATGTAAGCTAAAGGTGCTAAAACGGCTGGACCGAATGGGTTTCCACTGGGAACGCCGGCCACCTCAGCTAGTATTAAATAAAACACCATGTAATTTCCTGATTTTTCGTATGTAAATTTAATATTAATAAAACATACTGAAATTCCCTGATTTGTTCATTACACCCTGTAATTCCATGATTTGTTCATGTATTTAATATTATATAAAACACCCTGTAATTCCCTAATTTGTGTCATGGATTTAATATTAAATAAAACACCCTGTAATTCCCTAATTTTTCTCATCTAATATAAAATAGCAGTTCCCAGATATTTCTTTTGTATTCAATATTTAGTAAAACCTCTTAAAAATTTTTCATATATTTAATTTTTCTAATGAAGCTCATCGTTTATAGTATATTTGTAACTGTATACATATGTTAGCTATAGCTGGAAAACGGCTAAACCGAATGGGATGACATTTTTTGAGGGAACCCATGGGTTCCCTGTGGCCGGTAATCAAGACTGAACATTTTTTTTAAAATTTTTTAAATGTTTTTAAAATTCCACGGGCAATGCCGGGAATTGTAGCTAGTATTAAATTTCATGTATTTTTTCCTAATTTTTCTCATTTTTCTAATGAAAATAAAACACCCTGTAATTCGCTGATTTTTCTCATGCATTTAATAATAAATAAAACAACCTTGCACTACTATTCCCAGATTTTCGCATGTATTTAATATTTAAATATTAAACCCCAAGCAATTCTCTTACTAATGTATTTAATCTATCTAATAAAGCTCTTCGCCGATATATATGTTTTTGAGGGAACTTATGGTTACCCGGGGGCTTTGAGATACATAGGTTTATGAAATTCCAAGGGCAATGTCGGTGTAATGATTAACACTATCTATCAATTAAATAACAGACATAAATCTTAGGGATTTCGAGATCAATCATTTGCTCCCTCTGTTAAGGGAGTGTACAAATGTCGTTCTCTAAGTTTCCGTACTTTGTTTCATTAAACCCCTTCAATTTTCTCTCTAGATATATCTCTCGGAGTATGAATTAATGGGATTTATCAGGTTTTCAGCTTGCTGGTGTTACATCTGTATAAGATTAGTCTTGTTGAATCGACTCTCTATATTATCTGAGAAACTGTGGTTCGGCTGTTTCATTTCAGTGCCTTTCTGAGCAGCTTCCTTAACCTCAATATGTCATTCAGCTTCTCCAGTTCCGTATCTATATCTAGGCAGCATCTCCAACTCGATATCTCATTTAGATGCTCCAGTTCAATATCTATCTAGGCAGCTTCCTCACTCGATATCTCGTTTAGCTCCTCCAGTACAGTCTCTCTTACGCTGTAATCTTAGCTGCTACTCTAGCTGCTTCCAGAGTCTCCACTACTTTAGCTGCTCTTACAATACGTAATGCTTCCACTACATTCCCAACTGCTTCCTTTATTACCGGAGCTGCTCCTAGAGTCTCTGCTATGTTAGCTGTTCGTTACCGAAGTTTTTCCTAAAGTTTCTGCTATGTAAGCTGTTTATTACCGAAGCTGCTCCTAGATTCTCTGCTAGTTTGGCTGCTATTACAATCCGAGATGCTTTTACTGCATTATCAGATGCTTCCTTAACTAACGGAGCTGCTTTTGAAGTCCCTGCTACGTTACCTGTTCTGAGATGCTCTTTCTGTGTTCTCAGCTGCTTCCTATAGCTGGACTCACAACAGTTCTGTATAGAGCTGTTCTTCAATAAGTGGCGTCTCCATACTCCTGGAAGTCCTAGCTTTCCTGTGTGTCCTTGGTATCCTAGTTATCCTATGTGTCCTAGAAGTTCTAGTTCTCCTGTGTGTTCTGGAAGTCTTAGTTCTCCAGTGTGTCCTACAGCTATTTCTACAACAGATATGTAAAGATCAGCGTCTCTTGACACAAGATTATCTTTTTCTTCTAAGATGGGTATATGGAGAGCTGTCTGTAAAGAGCAGCATCTCCTGTATCAAGATCATCTTGTTGTTCTATAATGGATATGTGGAGAGCTGTCTGTAAAGAGCAGCGTCTCCAGTATCAGGTTTAGCTTCTGCTCCTGGAGTCCTAAGTCTGACTGGATCTTCTAGCGGCTTCAGATATGTGAAGAGCTGTCTGTAAAGATCAGCGTCTTCAGAATCAGGTTTAGCTTCTGCTCCTGGAGTCCTAAGTCTGATTGGATCTTCTAGCAGCTCCAGATATGTGAAGAGCTATCTGTAAAGATCAGCGTCTTCAGTATCAGGTATAGCTTCTGCTCCTGGAGTCCTAAGTCTGATTGGATCTTCTAGCAGCTCCAGATATGGGAAGAGCTGTCTGTAAAGATCAGCGTCTTCAGTATCAGGTTTAGCTTCTGCTCCTGGAGTCCTAAGTCTGATTGTATCTTCTAGCAGCTCCAGATATGTGAAGAGCTATCTGTAAAGATCAGCGTCTTCAGTATCAGGTTTAGCTTCTGCTTCTGGAGTCCTAAGTCTGATTGGATCTTCTAGCAGCTCCAGATATTTGACGAGCTTTCTGTAAAGATCAACGTCTCTGATATCTTGGGTATCCTATAGTTCTCCTCTGTATCCAAGATATCCCAGTGGGTAGTTCAGACGGGTTGGTACGAGAGCAATTGGTCCAGTTCTAGAAGCTACAGGAGATGAATATCTTGATGAGGTCTACAAACGAGTATGGTGAACCCTTGTGTTTCCTAAACCACCTGGAGAGTAAAGAGCATCCTCTGATATACTCGGTGATGTGGAGGACTCCGATTGTGGATCCTCCTGTATTATAAGGTGGAAGGAGGCTGCAGTGTCCACCTTAGTTGCCTGGTAGACATGGTATCTGTTCGCTGTCTGTTAACAAGCTGTTGTGCAAGTCCCCCTTTCTTATGTATAATTTATAATAAATAAAACACCCTGTAATTCCTTGATATTTTCTCATGTATATTTCATAATAAATAAAACACCATGTAATTCCTTGATATTTTCTCATGTATAATTTATAATAAATAAAACACCATGTAATTCCTTGATATTTTCTCATGTATATTTTATAATAAATAAAACACCCTGTAACTCCTTAATATTTTCTCATGTATATTTTATAATAAATAAAACACCCTGTAACTCCTTGATATTTCTCTTGTATATTTTATATTAAATAAAACACCCTGTTTGTTTATATTTTACCTTTAGTTCACTTTACACTGCATTAAATTACTTTAGTCCTAATTCAACCTTACAGCGGGGAATAGTAAACGGGAAATAAGGAAAAATAAATTGTTTAGTACAACTTTTTTTTTATCACTAATAGAATATCAAACAATTAAACATATTCTGAAGAGAAATATATTGAAATAATTGAGAGATTTCATACAAAGGATGAGACTGTAAAGACTCCTGATAATCTAAAAATATTACGATCCTTTGGTTGAATTGGGTCTTTTAAAGTTTTTTAATGGATTATTTTACTAATTTGTCATAGAAAGTAACAAGTTTAAATTTGCAAAATATCATGAATATAAGGAAATAGAAAGAATAAATTCTGTACAGTCGTCTCTGAAGTTTCATCTATTCTGGGTAACCCTGTACTAAGATTTAATATTTGATAACCAAAACTCAACTTTTAGCATACATCAAGCATACATCAAGCATACATCAAGCAAACCGTAACTTTTAATCGTCATTTACTTTCATTTATAAGCTAACAGTTAATAACAGAGCTACAGGGTGTCCCAATAAACATGGGAAGTAAGAGACAACTTCAATATCGTCTTTGATTTCCGATCATTGCTTAATGACATAAAGTGCATTAAAAAAAAACTGAAAGTTCTAGGAGCTTTCTAAATTGAGGTCTACCTTTTTCAAATCTTAAAAATTGACGGAGATATTAAACATTTAAACAGTTTTGTTGAATTTTGATAAACTTGAATCTGGACAAATTGTATAATATCTACTTCATTTTTTATGGTAAAAAAACGGTAGACCACATTTTGGAAATCCCGAGACTAGTATTGTCCGTGTTGGATATTTAAAATGTGATACTGCAAAATTATGTTTACGAAATTATCCCATGCATGGAACACAGAGGATATAAAAATCGTCATTTAATTCCCATGTTTATTTGGACATCCATGTATATCAAATAATTTGAACTCGGATCCGATAATTCGAAAAGAAATAAGGTTTTCTTAAACCAGTGCGACTATGCACCTTATTCCTTGGAGAATACAAAGTTTTATTTCTCTTTCCTTTAATTTCCGGTTCCGGTGTTCATTAAACCATAATATACAATATATTATACTTGGTATTGTATAAGTTATAAATATTTTGAGAGTAATTTTATATAGGAACTCCTTTTACTTTAATCTACTCAGGGGTGTCCACAGGAATTTTGCAAGCACTCGTTGGGGCCTAAAGACCATATATTTTACTAATTCAGGGGGGTTTTATAAAAAAATGATAGAACAGTGGAATTCTCTCAGTTTTTTTTTAATTATAAAATTTTCTAATAGGCAGTTTTTAATTGAATTAAATCTTTTTACCCTGAACATATTTAGTAATATATTGGTTATAAACTAAATTGTAGTTAACATAAGAAGGGGCCAGGAGGTTTATAGTTAAAGAATGATATCTCAGATTTGAAGATGTTAATCGATTACTGATAAGTGGAATTTCTAGGTAAACTTCTTGAAAAATAATTTCCCTCTGTTTATACCAGCTTAGCTGATGATCAATATTTTAATAAGCCATTTTTGAATAATTTCTGTCATTCTTTAATCTTTCATATAAAGGAATGCAAGTATAGACATGATTTGATAGATAAGGATGACTGAGTTATCCATTTTTTATCTGCACAAACGCTGTTTTTGTAATTGGGGAATACTATTTTCACCCCAGAATCGTAGTAAATAAATATTGTCAAATGTTCCACATTGTATCGAACATTGAAAATTTCAGATTTCCAAAATTTTGTATAGTGTTAGTTTTACATTTTACAATATTTAGAATATAAGAATGACATAAGAAAAGAAATCTTTCACGAAAGTCCAAACTGCCACGAACAAAACCGGTTTTTGTGATTTGAACAGAGAAAAAACGTAAAATGATGTTAAATTGTCATGATTTAAAAACATTTTTGTTTTGCTATAACGTCTTTTTAAAGTTTAAGTTAATTTTGCATGAAAATTTTGATTTGACAAAAACATTTTTTTCTGAAAGTTGTATAGACTGACAAAGCACATCGAACTGCTTTTGACAAAAAGCGTAAAAAAGGTTCCCCCCCCCCCCTTAGTGTATACTGTACATATAGGAGATGGGGTCTGTATTGGATAAACTGCTGGGTGAAGAGGAAGGAGGTGGAGATGCTGCTGTTAAAAGACAAGCTGAAGGTTTCTCTAATCCTATGTATGGGCTGGCCAATCTGATAGGACAGGTACAGGGTTAGCCAATCTTATAGGACAGGTACAGGGTTAGCCAATCTCATAGGACAGGTATAGGGTTAGCCAATTTCATAGGACAGGTACAGGGTAAGCCAATATTATAGGACAGGTACAGGGTTAGCCAATCTCATAGGACAGGTACAGGGTTAGCCAATCTCATAGGACAGGTGCAGGGTTAGCCAATCTCATAGGACAGGTACAGGGTGTCCCTAGCAATATAACAATAGCAGACGCTTCAAGGTCATCTTTCATCTTTCAAATAGTTTGCGGCATTATTTGTAAACCTAGTTTTATAATACTCAAAATCTTTGCATTTCCCAAATGTGGTCTGCCTTTTTGTTTTCTTCATTATTACCGGATATTTGATGAATTTTGTTCAGATTTCAACAATTTTGGTTTTTTAATAAATTTAAATCCGAACAAAATTCTTAATATCTGTGGCAATGTCGACAGCACAAAAAAGCAGACCACATTTTGGAAATGCCAGGACTAGGAGCATTTTGCGATTATTGTTTCAAGAATCATACTTATAAAAAAGTAGATAAAATAATGTTTAATTATGCTTAAAATAAATAATTCAGGGACTGCTGGTAGACTTGAGCAAGAAAGCAATGATCACAGGAAACTACAAGGTACACTGCGTCATTTGAAAGTACAAAGGAATACTTCATTTTGTATTTCTTGTTTGGATTTCCGGCCCAAACTGTAAAATATAACGGTAAATAATGTATCAAGAAAAAAAAATAATATTATCACTATCTTAAAAAGACTGTCAAATGTCAATATAATTTGAATCGATCCACTAACTTTATTCTTACCCTTTAGGCCTAAATCTAACGCTAACAATTTGACAAAAAATGTTTGTTTTTTTATTTTGAAAACATGTAAATTATCTTCCTTGTCTCTGATGCATAAAGTAATTTTTATACAGAAACCCTGTTTAAAAAGTATCAATTTTAGAAAGGATATTTTAATTAATAAAGGTTTAATTGGAACCATTGTAACACGGTCAAGTGTCACAACTTCGTAATAGATGTTATGAATAAAAATAAATTATTTTGAATAACTAGGAATTAGATGATGCGATACGAATGAAAATTCCTAAATACCTCTACAACAACGGAAAGGTGTTTTTAATTTATAAACTTCAGTTCAGATTTGAAAATATGATTGTTTTAATAAAAATTATTGCAAAAAATGTTTGTTTTTTTCGTGATAATTAATTGCAGGAAATTTTCCAAATTGTCAATAAAAAATGTGGGTATTTATCTATCTAAATTTCAAATTCTAAAAATACCTTAGAAAATGTACAAATTATTTCTGTTTCAGGGTAAATGGATACATTGCGCACATCTGGCTTGTCTCAGGTATGTCAAATGTCAAATTTCAATGAAGTAAAACTTGATTAACAACGAAATGACTGTCATCGTCGTTCTTTCTTTTATTCAAAAATACTGCTAAATATTTTCTAATGTGTGAAAATTGCCAAGTTGAATGCACTTACATAATCCTCAGCGTTTTTTTAAATCTAATTAAATGAGTGCCAATGACGACCAATGACGACCAAAAACTGTTTATGAAGTACAATTGGAATGCCAGATTTTATCTTCTCCCTTCAATGCACCGGCTTACTAGACATGTTTGGTAAAAAACTGGGTTTCAAATGATGGGATGCATAGATCCAATACAAAGTCTTCATGAAGTCTCATCATCTCTCTAGAAGGGGATCATTCATTAGGAGTAATGTCCTTTTGTTTTGCCGTAAGTAGTCCGTTGTACATTGCACAGTTTGCTCTAGCTCCTCTAGCTGCCTATAAGATGAGCCGGTAGTTAAATTGAATTCTAGTTTTCAGTTCTCAGAATCCTCGCTGTTTGTCACTAATGATGTTCATCCTGATTATTATTCGTAAATTCAATGCTATGTAATTAGCCCTGTATTATTGAATGCTATGTAATTAGCCCTGTATTATTGAATGCTATGTAATTATTTCAGGAATCGGGATCGATCCAAGCGAAAACAATTTCCCGAAATTTTGGGACTTGGAGAAGAATCCTTTAGGTATTAAAGAGACTTGATTTTAAGTGAACTTCCGGCCATGCAAATTTCGCAATGCCTGATTAACAACAGTGTTGTTAAAACCTGTATCTGATAAAAAATGAGGAGGATATTGTCGGTTTTCTATGTTTTAAAGTGTTTTATTCATTTTTGTAGAGAAACCACTGCTAAAAATATAATTTCAAACTTATAAACATTAATATTTAATTTATGTATACTTGATCAGTCAAATATTTTAAGGGTACCGTTGTGAATCGGGATTTGACGTTTTCGCATGGAGGGTAAGGGTGATTGATTTGTGACTTTTTTTAGAAATAAGCATAATAAGGTTTCTGCGTTTTCATGCTTAATATAGTTTTTTTAATCAAAATAAAAATTCAAAATCGTTCATACGGTTGTGATTTGACGATTTAATATCAGAGAAATCACCGTAAGGTCCCCCAAAAAAATGTTTTGAAAAATTTCATGTTACACATTATTTTCTTGGAAATTTTATGCTAAATGCAAATTTAATAAAAATGTTTAAAAGTGCTTTAAATAAGATGAAAATTTAAAGAGTAACAGCTAAGAAACTCATCAAAAACTATACAAAGTAAAATAACGGATTTTTGGACCGATATTTGGCTAAAGCATATTTAATCTTAACATTTTTAAAGCGCTTTTTGAGATTTGATTTGAGATGATGTAAGACATTTTAACCCCTATTTAAACCCCTTTAATAGGCCATACGCTGATTTCTTTGGTATCATGTTGTCAATTTTCAACCACATGGACGATTTTGATATTTTTTTATTACAATATTAGTTTTCAGAGAAAACGTTCTAACCCCCGGTGGTTGGTTATCTTAATTCCAAAATTGATCACCATTCATGGAGGGTTACTTGAAATTATACATACTGTATCTTTAATTATGCATAAAGCTTAACATAACAGCTAGTTCAGAGACGACGTTAAGATCGTCTTCAATCTTTGATCGCTATCAAATGAAAAGCTCATAAGTTGTGATTATGTTAAGATCGTCTTCAATCTTTGATCGCTATCAAATGAAAAGCTCATAAGTTGTGATTATGTTTTTGTATCCTATTTGTCTTTAGAAATTTAAATTAATAATCTTTAATAAGCATTAACTCATTTTAAGCAGACCACAATTCAAAACTCCATGAATAACTAAACAAAATGGATTTAAAGTACATTCTTAGCTACCATCCATAACATCCCATCAGAGGAATTTTTAGGTTTCATTTTTATTTTTTTTTAAATGTACACACAAATTTTCTTTTATTTTAAATATTTTGTTTCAATTTAAGCCACATATATACTATATAGTCTAATATTAAGTGTTTTTTATTAGTTATCTATCTTTGCAAACTCTAAACCAGGTTTTTCTTCGTTGTATGCGTGCTGGATATTTGATTGATTGATTGATTGATATTTCTGTTTAGTTTTAAGTTTGAAGACTCCGAGTTACTGCAGCGAATGATAGGAAAGCACACAATCAAAGCATTTTTGTAAAATAAATGTTATTGAACTTTTCCAAGTCAAATAGATTTATACAGTGAAACCCTTAATAACGAATACATCGGAAGAATTTATCAAATGTCGTCTTGACAATTTTTCAATTAGTTTTATACTATATTACGTAGATTTCAGTATTTGCAAAAATAAATAAATAGTCCTGAATATGCGGGAACAGTTTTAAAGAGTTACATATAATCATTTAATTAAAAAACTAAATATCTGCAACGTTCCATTATCAGAATGTGAAGAATACGACATTTGATGAATTCTTTTTATGTATTCGTTATTAAGGGTTTCACTGTACATTTTCCTAATTAGCTTTAGTAAACAGTGGAACATTATTTTATCTAGTTTAGTGAACACTGCAACATTATTTTATCTAGTTTAGTCAAAAATATATTTTTCTTTTTTTAAAATGCAAATATTAATTCCTCAATACGAACAATTATTATTGTTTTATGTTATTTTTTTCTTTTTTAAATTAAGTTTGTTAAATTTTGAGTGAAATTGGGTACAGGTTTATTTAAGAACATCTATGTGGACAAATATAATTTAATATTTTGCCTTAGAAAAATATTTTACAAAAATATTTTGAATTTCGAATGTATAACCAAATGAATCACGCACCTCTGACCCTTCAGTAAAAGTAAATTCAGCTAAAGTCTGACCGCGTCATCCTTGTTTCACCGGCTAGTTCGGTCAATACAGTACAAACTGGGACCGGAAAGGTTGACCCGGTTTGGAAATTCAAATGTACAACGGCTGCCCGTGGAATTTGCCTTTCTAATAATTATGCATAAATCAAAACTAGAGAATCTACGAGGTCACAAAGTCTTAAAAATGGATGCCGCATCTCAACTTGTCTAGTTGCAGTGTTTCTGCAATTTTCCTCCTTTTTGCTCACCCTGTCATGTATCCGACCCAGTAAATAATTATAAATAATATTTGAGTGATTGCTGATAATAGGAGATGATACTCCTGAAAATAGTCCTGAAAAATATACACTACATGCCTGGGATGTAAGTATACACTAAACTATACTAAAATTGAGTTTTTGCCTCAAACTCAAATTTTCTAATCTCTACATATTTGCAACCTGATCTTTTAATATAACGTAGAGATTGCATAGTTTAAAACATCAAAAATCTAAGACATTGGTTTGCAAATATAGGAATTTGAAAATCAGAGTTTGTGCCAAACACTCAATTCCTTTACTGGGCACACAATATGTTTTCCATTTCTTCCCGCTTACTTATTAAATAAGTATTTTATAATCTCCGTATATAAAGTTAAAAAGTAGGAATCTCTGGTTTTGTGTTGTTTGAATGTACTTAACTCAGGAGTCAGGAACGCCTTGAAAGGTTGACATACAATTTTAATTGGGGAACTCAAAAATTTCATAGTTATTAGAAAAACAATATTTGAAATTGTTTTATTTTTTTTAAACAAAAATTCAAAAAAAAAATTTTTATTGGATTTATACGAAAATAAAAATTCGTAAAAAATCCTTGAGAAGTGAAAAGGAAAAACAATACTTAAAAGTCCACGTTGTTCATGGATTACGCAAAATTAAAATAGAAAAATAGATTTTTAATTTTTATTTTAAAACAAATAACAAAATAAATAGTTAATATTCTTAAATGAAATTTTTTAAATTTCATAATGAATGTTTTTTTTGTACTATAACAAATTACTTACAAAGACTTCTGAAAAAAATGTGCGTTCTTTTCTTACGAATTGTTTAAGCAAGTTTAATATTTGTTGAGGTTGAATGTCGAGGAGCTGTTGGTGAAACAGTTTTTCATGTTTGTTTTCTCATGGGAACCCCAGTTCATCTTCATCTTGCTAAACGATTGCTTAAGGTAAAGGAATTTTGACTCAAAGGAATTTAGTCCTTGCCACAAGCTCAAATTTTCAAGTCCCTATATCGTTGCAATCTGAGTGTAAACCTTTATTATTTAATCTAACATAATTCATAGTTAGAAAAATCTAAGGTACAATATTGGGTTACAAAGATATAGGGATTAGAAGGATATAGGGATTAGAAGGATATAGGGATTAGAAGGATATAGGGATTAGAAGGATATAGGGATTAGAAGATCAGAGTTTGTGGCAAAGACTCAAAGGAATTAAGGTTTTGCAACAATCTCTGATTTTCCCTATAAAATTCATAACATTTCAACCCGATGTTTTAGACCTTTGATATTTGATATTATGAATTATCAAATAATCTTATGTCCGAAATATAAAAGGTTTACATCAATAGAAAGCAATTCGAAAATTTAAGTTTGTGTCTAAACTCAGTTCCTTTATGATGTAAACCTTTGATATTTCAAACTTAGATTATTTAATCTAGCAGAATTCATAGTTTGAAATGTTTAAGGTCTACGACATTGGGTTGCAAAGACATAGGAATTAAGGAATTAGTGTTTGTGGCAACGACTAAACTCCTTTGAAAAATTAGGATTCTTAACACTTTCTACCCTATTGCGGTTGGGCTAATATGGGGGGGGGATTCCGGTAGTCAAAAACAATTAGGTTTCTGAGATTTATGGATTTGAAAAATTATGTTTGTGGCAAAAACAGTTTTATATCAATTTCTCGAGGCAGGAACATCAGATAGATGTCTTATATGTATCCTTCAATCCCTGAGATTCTCAGGTTTCATCCTATACCCCCTTTAATTTTTCCTTAACAGTCCCTTTGAGTTTGAAAGTTAAAAAGATTGAGCCCCTCTCCCCCCTGTATATGATTATTACACAAAGTTTTGAAGAGTGATCATACACAAAGTTTTAACATTATTATACTTTTACAAGTTAATGCTTATTTGGCATTAATTGCATTTTTTAAACTTTATTTATAAAGTATCCACATAAAATGTCTGATTGTCGCTGTTTTAAAACTCTATCTTAATACCTAATTTTAAAAGTTATGAAGACAAGACAGGGTTAATGATCTTAAAAACGCTTATGGGTGTCATTCTTTTCGCATTTTAATGTTGAGAAAATATTTAATAGTCAATTAAAAATAAGTTAATGTTTTGTTTTACAGAAAAAAAGTAAACATGAAAAAATCCCCTTTTTACAATAAATAAACCAAATTTTGATATGATTTTGTATTTTCAGCATTACCCTCTTCTTCTGAACGACATCTATTTATCTGAGGTAAACTTTCTCATCTCACATTTCTTTTATTCGTTAATTCTTCACTCTAGTATGCCGAGTCCATTAGCGCTTGATCCAATCAGGGTTCAGTCATCTGTTTGTTGTCTATTCTGAACCAAAAGAAATTGCATGGCGGTAACATCTATAATATTGCTATTTATCTCATTATTCAATTAGAGATATATTTTATATCGGCGCTATAACAGTAAATGGAAATATTTACTTCTACTGAAACTATAGTGTCTTTGCTACTGCAATTTACTATTTGAGGAACCCTTACTTAATACAAAAGAACTTGCCGAAGTGCCCGGCGTTGTTGGTGGAATTTTCAAAATTAAAAATAAAATAAAAATTTTGTTGAATTTTGTAGAAATAAATTACAGCGAAGAGCTTTATTATATATATTTTATAGTTTAAAAATCTTTGCTTTTATCTGAGAAATATTTCTATTGTAAAAGTATCAAATTTCTTAAGATAAATAAGGAAACTCACATCATCCATGTTATTAATGATTTCTTAAAAGTAAAATTTAAAAAAATAGAAACGCAAATTGCCTCTTGGACATTTCAAAATTTTTATCTAAAGATTTGAAAATTTTGTTTATTTTGTTGTTTTGAAAAAAGAACAAATATTAATTGTACTTAAGAAATTTAGGTAACTAGTAGACTTTTGATATATTTTTATGAAAAATGTTTATTTTAATGATGTTTCATTTTTGAATAAAAGTAGTATAGTAGAAGTATAAATGAAGACAAGAATATAGATGAATCGTAAATATAAATGTATTTTATAGGACTGTTTAATTAGGTATTAGGAGTTTATAACTGTATTTAAAAGTATATAGATATACTTAAAGTATATAAAACTATTCAAAGTATTCAAAGTATAATGAGGATGTTTATCTGTTTTTTTGATTGAATAATAAATTGAGTATTTAAAGTATATAAATATATATAAAAGTATATAAATACTAGGCAAGCGCCCTATCTTCTATTTAAATTGTGAACAGTTCTTTTTGTTTACATTTTAAAACAAAGAAGAAAAAAAATGTTCGGATTTTTAAAAAAAATCGCGGATTTTCATAAATTTAAATTTGTTTAAAAAATTAAAAACCTTTAAAACACATTTTATTTAATTTTACCATTCATAAACCTTTCCTGTGGTCACGTGATGTCCCACAAAAAATTTGGGCCCGATCGGTTCAGCCGTTTTG